ATAATAATAACCATTTTGGAAAACTGGGGTGTTACAAGAATAATTTATAGCAACTCTTAAATTAAAATATTACAAATAGTTACAATGTATTGTTGTCATCATAGTTCTCTCAATCATTGTTATCTTCATCACGTTATTACAACCACATCACCTTCAGTGCACAACCACTACATTATCACCACTACCATTGTAACATCCCAAATTTTATTCAATATTAATATTAAAAGGGTTATTTTTTTATGTATGGGATTATTAAAAGTTAAAAAAAAAATGTGAAAAATATTTTATAATATTATTTTGATGAATAATAATCTTCAATCAGAATTCAAATCAAATTTTTCATGAATAGTATTTTATTATTTGAATAGTAATATATATATAATAATTGTAGTAATTATGAATTCAATCAGACGAAATTCAATCGAATTCCAATTCCCTTCATTTGAATAAAATATTATTATAAATAGTACATTTTGTAATAATGTATTAGAATCCAAATCAAATCCTAACATGGCCTCTTCTAAGTGCAGTAGCAATGTGAATGCAATTGGCAAAGCAATAATTGTGAATGTATAGCAATTGGCAATTATGTGCGTAGGAAATGTGATACGTGGCAAAGCAATTATATAGCAATCATATAGCTTTAGCGTAAGCAATTACGTAAGGGGATAAGATACAATTGTGTAGTAAGTGAGATTTCATTTCCTATAAATAGGCTCCCATTAAGACATGCAGCAACGGGAAAAATTGAAGAGAACGTATGATAATAAAAATCTGATAAGTGTGTATTTCTAGGTAAGGGGAGGAGAACTTTATCTCTTTAAAATTTTATATACTACTATGTTTATTTATTTATGTTATTTTAGTGGGGTGTCCCTAACCTCACTATATTTATATATTTATTCAGTGAGGTGCTTCTAACTTCACTATATTTATATATTTATTCAGTGAGGTGCTTCTAACTTCACTATATTTATATATTTATTCAGTGAGGTGTTCTTAACCTCATTTAACTACTTAACTTTTAATTACAATGTTTATTTATGTTATTGTTATATTTATTCAGTGAGGTGTTCCTAACCTCATCTAACTACTTAACTTTTAATTATTATGTTTATTTATTTATGTTATTTTTATTATTTAGTGGGGTGTTTCTAACCTCATATATTTGTTTAACCTTTAATTACTATTACTTATTCTATGATTATTCTTATCCATAATAATTATTAATATATTCACATTTTATATTGTTTAATTATTTTATAATAATTGTCATTGTCATTTAATTAATTAGTGCTCTTAATATATTTTATTTAAATTTGTGTTATTTAATTAAAGCTTAAATAATGATAAATTCTTAAATCTATTTTGAGTAATTTTTTATGATTAATATAATTTGTTAAAATGTTTTTGACTCATTTTAAAGATAAATAATACTCTATGGCCATAGACGATAAAGTTTGAATTATTTGTAGCTGGAGGTTTAACCTTGGGGATTTAAATGAGTAAGAAATGAAGGTGAAATATCCTTTTGTTGGTTGCTGTTATAATGATGCTCATTTATCCTGACTAGTCACTACAAGTATAATTCAAATTTTATTGTATCACCAAAAACTAATATTTGATCGGTATATATATTTATATTTAATTTTGTTTATAAATAATTCTGTTTATTCTTTTGAATTATTTTATTTATTGGATATTGTTCTTACTCCTTTCTTTTCTTTGTTTTTTTTTAAATTAAATATATTATAAAATAGATGGATCAACTTGAGATTCCAGATCATTTTGCTGTTGTTGTTATTGCTGTCCTACTTGGAAGGAAATCGGAATATGGAGGCTATTTGATGGATTTGTTATAACTTTACTTGTCAATCATATTATTTTAATTGAAATTTTCTTTCCATTATGAATATAAATATTGTATTGAAAGGGTAAGGAAGAGGAATAATGTGTAAATTAATACGTTATTCTAAATATTTTAGAACGATATGTCATGTATTAAATTCACAAAATAATCTTTTCTTTACTTTCATTTTTATTAAATAAATATATAGATATTGTTAATGATATAATTGCAGAAATATTATAAAATTTTATAATTTTTATTATATAAATTGGGTATTAGAATTTGGGCGTTACAACCATCGTCGCCACCACCACCTCCGTTATCATCACCATTATTGTTGTTTATGTAATTTTTAATTATTGTTCTCATTCTTACTTGCTTCTTTCTTGGTGATAGTGAAACTCACTCTAATTGGATTGAGAACTAGACGTAGTCATAGTAGTTGAGACGAATCAGTATAAAAATTACCGTATCTTTTGCCTGCCTCATCTCTTACACTCTTTATTGTTAGTGTTACTACTTCATTACTCGAAAAAGTATGAGATTTTGATTGACATTATTTAACCCCCTTCTAGTGTTTGTCTTTTCTCCACATGTCTCATGACAGATGCCGATGAAACAAGATTAGAGGTAGAATCTGACTCTAACTCTTATTCTTCTAATAGTTTTGATGAAGAGGAGATACCCTGTGAAACTTTCCTGGAAAGCTCTAACATGATGAGTACAAAAGATTTAAAGAAAAGTGCAAACCATTGCAAATAGAAACTGAAAAACTCAAGAATGATCTATCATATGCTACCAAAGAGATTTAGACTCTCAAGCACAAAATCACAAGTAATGAACCACCAAAGGTTATAACATTGTAAGCTTAAAACATACAACTCATAAAGGGTTTTCCTAAATTTGTTGATGGACCTTCTAAAATAAATATTCTTTTAAAGCACAAAAGATTGTCATTTGACAAAAATGGTCTTTGATTTGTTACAATGCAGTCAAAGACATTATCCTCCAAACCTAAGACCACTCTCTACGATATCCACAAAAAATGTAATCACCTTCCTAGTAGATGCAAAAACAAACAAATATAGAAAAGAAAGTCTAAGGTCAAGGACACTAACAAAAGAGGACCTAAAAATATTTGGGTACCAATGTTTCAAATAATTTCTATTGTAGATATTTTTAGTGGGAAAAAAGAAGGATTCACACTGGTATCTATGTAATGGTTGCTTGCAACAATGATGGGAGACAGGTCTATGTTCCTAGACCTTCAACCTCATGAAGGAACAACATATTTTGGAGGAATTGACAAAGGAAAGATTAGAGGTATATATAAGATTGGTACTAACTCTATACCCATTGTTAATAATGTATTATATGTTGAAGGATTAAAATATAATATATTTATCATAAGTCAATTTTAAGACGATGAATATACGGTATCTTTTGCCAAGGATCTATGCCTAGTCAAATAAAATGATGAATATGCTTTTTACTGCCTATAGAATAATTTCTATGATATTAATTTAGATGACATGGGCAAACAAAATATAACTTGTTTGGTTTCTAGAGAAGATGAAAGATGGATTTGACATTAAAAAAACTTAGACACATAAATTTAAAACATTTATAAACTAAATAAGAAAGGTTTAGTAGGAGGGTTGTCTGAGATTTTTTGGAAAACCCATCTTCTTTGTGAAGTTTGTCAGAAGTAGAAATAAATTAAAAACTTTGTTCAAATCTTAAAAGATTGTTTCCGCTTCTCGGCACTTCAAATTGTTACACATGAATTTGTTTGGTTTAACTAGAACTCTAAGACTGGAGGGTAAGAAATATGAATTTGTCAATATAGATGACTATGCTAGATATACATGAATGGTAAGATAAAAAGAGCATAATATAATGATATCACACTAAAAAATATTTTTTTTTGTGTGAGTACACTAGCTAGTGTTATAAACACTTTAAGAGGAAAATACTAAACGATTTAACTAACAAATTGAATGTACAAAGTATACAAAAAAATTATAATAAAGTAAAATAAGTATTGAATTAATTGCATTAATTATATTTAGAAAATGCATAATAGTTGTATTGTTTAATAAAAAAAATAACGAGATTAATATGTGATGATGAAATAGAATCAACTTTTAAATTATAATATTATTTTTTGATAAAAATTTATATTATTACTTTAAGTATAATTTGCTTAACATATACAACATAAATGTTTCAAAAATTTTAAAATATTCATACTTTTGAATAAATTTATTATAAAGTTATTATTTAATTTAATATTTTATAATTTAAATTAATTTTTTACCGATTCGGAATAAATTTTGGACTTTCATTTCAAAGGATGTAGAATTTTTCATTTAATTATGAAGCATTATGTTGGTTCTACATTGAGAGGGTAACGTAGCAAAATGGGATAGAGACGAGTTGTAACCCTGGTCATCCATTTGTTTAGTGTAGATATCCGTGATTTTTTTTTATTTTTTATATATTCACAAGTATTTATAAATATTTGTATGTAAAATTTTAACTAAAAAATAAGAGATAAAATAAAATTAAAAAATAATTTTAAAATATATATTTATATTAAAAATAAATAATTATATTACATATTTATTTTTAATATAGATCG